CCGAGGGAGGGGGCCGAACGCACCGTGACACGCGTGCTCTTGCGCAGAATCCGGTTGAGCTGATCCACGGCTCACACCAATGAGGTCTCAGGTTAATAAGCAGTGCAGTTACTCGGCTATCTGCTCGTAAGTGGTAGGTGTTCTTGGGCAGGTTGCCTGCTCCTGCCAACTCCCCCACAACTTCATGTTGTCAGCACATCTATATTTAAGACTGGGTTTTTTTGCCTTTGTTTAAAGGGGTTTCCTTCCCTTGTAGTAAACTTAAGAGTTAATAGAAAAAAGTAATTCAAAGGTAATCCAAGCACATCTGTAATTAATTCTGCAGGAGAGGGCAGAGCGACGCGAGTCAGAGTTGGCACGCAATTCCTGGCTCCTGGTGTGCAGTCCCCTGGACGGGCAGAAGGTCCCTCCGCCGAGCATGGCTAGAAGTTAGATTTGGAGTGTCCAAATATGCAGATGGGAAAGTGCTTGACATGAGAGGACCACTGTGCTGCCAGCTGAAAGAACTTGACGTCGTTCCACTCCACTCCATCGATCAGGACTACAGGGGAGGGTGAAAAGAGAGGAGAGTTAGAAAACACTGCATGGCAGCAGCCAGCCTGAAACAGCTTTGCTAGGAACCTCCCTGCAGTCGGCAGAGGGAGGCCTGGCCACGTTCTGTGCTCAGGGTACATGCTGCTCCGCCCGGCCACCCCGCCGCTGTAAACAGCTGCCAACACAGGGGAGTCAGGCTCGAGAGCAGACCAGGTTCAGGGAGGACAGCTCAGATTGTTGTTCCAGCATCGTTCACTGACACTGGAACTCCTCGGACTGCCGATTTCAGCATCACCTGATCCAATTTCTCAAATTTCCTAAACACATTCCACTTTCTTTTTTGGGCAAACGCACTCTCACAGCCGCTGTAAACAGCTGCCAACACAGGGGAGTCAGGCTCGAGAGCAGACCAGGTTCAGGGAGGACAGCTCAGATTGTTGTTCCAGCATCGTTCACTGACACTGGAACTCCTCGGACTGCCGATTTCAGCATCACCTGATCCAATTTCTCAAATTTCCTAAACACATTCCACTTTCTTTTTTGGGCAAACGCACTCTCACAGAGATGGACATCAGTCTCTCCTCACTGGCACTCTCAACCAGGAGATCCGCATCTCCTGAAGAGGTGACACAGGTTCTGTGACCGCCCCTCCCACTCACCAGCCTCGCAGGGACTGGGCCGGGATTAAAGGGCTGACCTAAGCCGAGCCCTCTGCCCTTACCAGTGGTGGGGATTTTCAGCTAAGACGCACGTATGGCTCCTGCCGCGGCGAGCCTTTGTGCTGGCATCCTGCCTTCAGGAGCAGCCACACTCTCACTGCTCTCCACCACCACTCGCACCAGACGTGCCAGGGAAACGGAGAATGACAGGGAGGGGAAAGCAGCCCTGCCCAGCCCTCTTCCTCATCCAGGGCACTGATTCAGAGGAGTTCCTAGGTAAGGGAGGATTTTCCCACATCCTAGACCTAGTAAAGCATTCCCCCGTCCTGGATACGTCCGAGCTCGTTCGCTAGAAACACCCCCATTACACCCTTTGTCTGGAGGACAACGCTAGCAGCTGAGCCTTGCCCCAGGGCCCCATGGGCTGCACTTACCCCGCAGCATGTTCTGCTGATGCTTCGCTGTGCAAATCAACCTGCTGATTCCTTCAATACACTGGCTCTTCGACTCCACCTCCTTGTCTTTTGTTTTCTTGGGCAAAAACATCACTGGAAGAAAATCAAATGGGCACACAGTGAATCTGCCACTCACCGGAGCTGCACCAAGGCTTGTTTGGGCTTTTGTATTTAAACATTCACGTCTGAAAATTCTAACTCTAATTTTAACTCCTAAAATCACCCCTGTTTGGCAGGAGTTTGACTGTCAGTGCTCAGCACCACCACCTATGCACATGGACATCTTGGCTCTAAGCGTCTCTGCGTGAAGCATTCCCAGCTCATAACCCAGGCCCCAACAGGCAAATTCAGGGTAACTCCCGCTGCTCTGGTGGGACTCCAGGGAACACAGGTCCATCTGTAGCGGTCCCCAGCCTGTGTCCTGGGCTGGGCTGACGGGATCTGCTGGGCGGCCACACAATGTAGACAGAATCCCACACACTGCACTCCAGCCTCCGATGTAGCTGCAGGCAGGTTTGCTGCACCAACAGCGGCCCAGCATGTGCTGGGGCTGCACAGACACCTGGAGAGCAGGAAGGACTACTGCCATGGGCAGCTGGTGGAGAGGGAAGGTGTTAGGAGAGCTAAAAAGGGTCCAGTTGCCCAAGAACTGTCCAAATGTATGAGCAAAGATGTACAAACCAGCTCCACAAAAGCTGATGGTGTTGAACACCACTGCTCCAGGCTGGGCCAGCCCCAACTAAGAACATTCTGAGTGTCTCAGGATT